ATACATATACGAGTCAGTTATTAAACGGCGTTCTAAAATTCAGTTTTACAAAAAGTTTGTGAACGGTGGGTTTTATGGGTGTAATGTGCCAGATCGTGCGTGGCACGCGCAGGCTGGCTGCTTAGCTATATTAAGCCACAGCGGTTTACGTTTGTCTCCACTTCGACTTGCCGTCAGAACACGCAGGGTGAGGCAAATAGGTGGATAGAGAGCAAGTAAGCCCTGCGGCCGTATAAAAGGGGCGGCGGTCGCACCATCATGTATAATAGTTGCAGTAACTGAGGATAACCCAGACCGACTATCCTTCTGACCAAAAAACGTTTTATCTGTAACGGATTGCTTAGATGAAACTTTAACCATGAGAAAATCGGTAAGTGGGGCCCCAAAGTTGGATGACCGAAATTCAGCAGCCTGAATTGCAGAAAAGTATCGACAGCAAGCACTCTAGTTGCTTATAAACAAATCAACATAAGGAGTGAATAATATAACATGTAAAGAACCTGCTGCCAGACGAGTCGATCTAGACCGGCTGGAGGGGTCTCCAGGTAGACGTTTAACTGGGAAGTAGAAGGAGCCAGTTCAGGAGTTAATAGAATGACGCACAACTGAGACTGAAGTTCCTGTTTTACAGTGGGGCTGCAGAGATAGTTGGCTAAGTCGCTCGCTGGGATCGTGTGGAGTGACCCTGAAAGACGTCAAGAAAGACATAATTACATACCCCGACTTTCAAGATGAGAAAAAAACAGTGTATGAACTTTTTTACACGTTTTGGTTGAGGTAAAAATTATGCGGCTTTAGTTATGCACTTAACCATGCATTCAAAGACCTTATTGTGCTAAATGATAGCTAAAACACTACTCTTGAAAACAGTTCGCAGAAGGATAAGTCAAATAAGTGGTTATACCTGAAGCTTGTCGTTCCACAACCTTTATGACGACCTCAGTGTTTGTTTCAGAGCGTGCTGATGGACGAATTTCCTCAATTATTAGCTGAAAATTAGGACGACCGCCGAGTAACCGAAACAGATGGTCCTGAAGACCTTGCTTCTGACTTAGCACAGTTGCTGTGGGCAAGTTGACTTCAAGACACACAAGACCGTCGGCTTCAGTGCTCGCAGGTAAAACGTTGTAAGCGATGCCCCGAAACCGAGAAAACGGATTTTCCATCGTATAGGCTACCGCACCAAGCGCGCTATAGCCAGTTCCTGTGCCGAGCATTGCTTGAAGCTGGTTTAATCTTGTTATGATGTTGTCCCGTTCGTCACCAAACAGGAGGGGCTGTGACAGTGATGCGTAGAAGGCGTTGACAGAATTCTGTTGCTGTTGTAACTGTTGCTGCTGTTGTTGCAATATGCTGTTATTTTGGAGGCCTGCGTGGAAGAAATTCAGCGAAAAGTTTATAATACTCCAAAAAACAAGTCAGTAAGAAGATAGAAATCATCATTATGACAAGCGCGTGCGACGTCCCCAAGACACATTGAGTACTTGTTACCAATTAAGCTCAACCAATCATTATATTAGGAAAGTCTATCAGTAGCCGAGGCTAAATAACGGATTGGTTTGAAGGGGTACATAAAGAGACCAAACAGTAAAAAATATGCAATCCGCACGCCTACCTAGTAAATTTTCATAACAATTACGTGAGGAAAAAAGTTGCAACAGTCATTGGGACAACACTTCAGCAAAAATGTGTCCCGACTTTAAGAATGTATGCGATTAAACTAGCCCGGTATGTATTTCAGGAAATACTAATGGTAAAGAAGAGAATACCTACTTACGAGGACCAAAACAGACGTATTCGGGGTAGAAACCTCGGTTGATAACCCAGGCCAATGAGTATTATAATAACCGATTAAATGTAAAATGGATAAACTTTGTCTGTCCAAATAAAAAATATCGGTCTCAAGTGTAGGAAAGGGTTTTCCGTTCTCCTTAAGATAGCAGGTAACTCAGTTTCATCAAAACGGGCACCGTACGCAATGATGGAGGCAACGTTATGTGGAACTGCCGCAAATATAAAGTGGTATTTGAAAAGTGGAAAGTTCACAGAGGATGCCACAAAATTACCAAAGGCACTGGTTGTCTGCTGTCCAAGGATGGGCTGATTTTGTTGAGTAGGCTGAAAGGAGAATAAGGACCCGGGTTTTGGAGCTGCTATGGAGGTTGCAGGAGGATTCCCAAACAGAGAGGGGGTTTTCGAAGAGGAAAAACTGAAAGGCTGCGACTTAGAGGTAGAGGTCCCTTTAAAAATATTTGTTGTAGATGGAGCTGAGAGACCTCCGAATGAAAACGCAGATGCAGCAGTTGTCGGTTGCATTCCAAAACCGAAACCCGTAGCCGTGGTAGTCTTTGCGGCATTAAAAGAGAACGCATTCGATGAGCTTGAAGCCGGAGCGCCGAA